ATTTGGGTGATGGGTGAAAAAGGGGAAAAAATGACGAATAGCAATTTTTTTATTCATGAATAATATTATTTTTTCATGTCATTGTCTATTTGAAAATACCCCTGTTTATTTTTACTTATCCGTGTCTATTGAAATAAATAATCCGTGATTATTTCATTCTTAAATAAATAATTACCCATAATTATTCTATTCTTAAAATATTCTATCTATTTTTCATGTTTGACGTATCTGTGAAATACTAAAATGACAACGCCAAAAAGCAAATAAAAATAATAATATGAAGTCAAAAAAACGACAACCGATAATTTTATTGATTGGTGGAGTAATTGTTTTACTCTTAATAATCGGGAGTGTTTTCTTAATCAAACAAAAAAACGATAAGCAATCTTCTTCTACTCCTAGTCAAACGCCTCCTAATAATAATCAAGACCCTCCATCCAAAAATCCCAAAAGTTCGGCCGAGCAAATCAAGGAGAAGTTAAAAACTTATTTAAAAATAGATAATTATCTGAACTTGCCAGAATGTCAATCTGACGGTGATAAACTTGTGGTTGTTTTATACAAGGAAGGGAAAGCGGTCGGCAAGGAAAATTATTCTTTTGCGACAATGACGGAAAAAGATAAGCAAGAAATTGAAGAATTATCTCAGCAAATCCTTTTGTGAGGAGTAGAACTGATTGATAAAGACCGTGCCAAGTTAGACCAAAATCCTGCTTTGCTTTATGAGGGTGTCTTAACTAGCGGACGACCCGGAAAACCGGAGCAAAAATATTGGGAGTTTACTAGCAAGAAGAATCAGGAAATTATTTCGGTCTTTATTGTTGATAACCATCCAGCCTTAATTAATCTTACTATCCACAAAAGAAAACTTTATTTAGCGACGGGAATTGACAAAATAAAAATCGAAATAATTTCTAAAAACGGCCTAGATTTTAAATGTAAATTTGTCGAATTAGAGGACCAAATTACGTTTGCTCCTTTTTCTGGTTAATAAAAACCCTTAAAATTTCTTACTAATAACAAAAATTAAATAATGAATAATGATCTTTTATGAAAAGAATTTTACTTAGATAAAATTGACCCCAGTTGAGTCCAATTTTTTCAACAAGAAGCCCAAAAAGATTATTTTTTTCCTCTGCTGGAAAAATTAAGCCAAGAATACCAAAATTATAA